AAATGAATGAATGAACCATGAAATATTTAAAGGTCAATTCCAAACACTAAAAGTCCAGGAATTAAAAAAAAAATTCTAATTATTTATTTATTTATTTTTCTGTGTTTTTTTTTTTTAATCTTACATGGTTAGGACAAGGGGAGTGGAAACAGGGAAAACTTTTGGAGGAGAAAGTGGGGAAAGATTAGCAGTGGAACTTGAGTCAGGAATCAAACTCGGGTCACTGTGAGCATCAGTCCTATTGACCTTATATTTAAAAAAAAAAATGTTTTGTGCTAATTTTTGTGATTGTTTTAGAACATTAGAGTCAGCTGCTTATGGGAGAAATGAATAATAAACGGCAAAATAAATGGGGACACTACTTGCACTACAAACAAATGCGTTTATGAGAATAAATAAAAAAAAAATTTAAATAATACAAAAATGTCAGTTTGAAACATCAAGCAGCATGTCAAGCTGTTTTTAACGACTAAAAATCAATGGAAGTGAATGAGACCATAAGGCTTGAGCCAAACAGATAAGGTCAATATGTCGACAGACACACAAACGATAGGTGCCGACAAATGTCTGGATTTTTTTTTTTTTGGTCATGTAAAGGAATTTTAGGGGTATTTGTTTGTCATATGAATTTTACCTCTCATTTAATGCTATCTCACGGCAATTTGTAACTTTTTGATTTAGTCGCTAATTTGTATGAATTCGTACAATGTCATTCGTACAGTTAAATATGATTTGCTCATCCCCCAGTAATGTTAGGGTATAGGGGCGGGGTTTGATGCCATGACTCCTTTTTAAAATCTTAATCTTAGCTACACTGTAAAAAATATTCCATTAAATTTACTGTAAAAAACTTACAGCTGTGTCTGCCAGAAGTTTACCGTAAAAATACGATAGAGTTGTTTTTCAATTTATGGTATTATTAAGAGAACAAAAAAATTACGGTAAAAAACTGACAGCTGTGGTTTCCAGAAATCTACCGTTAAAAAGACAGTAGAAATGTTCTTCAGTTTACAGTATACTGTACATAATATAACTTTAAAAGATAATGCATAAAAATGGCAGGTTAAATAACATTAATAAACAATAATGTCAAATTTAAAAGACTTTGAAACTTTTATTTAACAGCAGTGCAACAAATACTTAGCAGTCTTCTTAAAACAACAGTAAAAACTGATTGGCTTCTCATGAAACATTTTTTTGTTTTTTTACAGAACTTTGTAAACACAGGCATATAATAATTGTATTATATGAAGTTGTGGTTATGAAGCATTTAATAACATACATAGTAATCGTTTTAATATGCTTGAATTTTAAATATATGTTAATTTGAATAGTTTATTAATTATTTACTCATTCTGAACTATTTTTAAAAACCACCAACTACTTTTAACTACAAATGATTTAAAATTATTGCAATTCTTCATTGAGTAATGAAAAATTAATCAGTAACAAAGCATATAAGAACAATTGTTAAGCACATTATAAATGTACTTATAAGTCAAGAACACATCATTTGTAGATGTGTTAATCAAGTGCTTACTAATGTTTTATAATGCAGACTTAATGCTTAACAAATGATGAATTTTATCGTTGTTTTAACGGTTGTTACGGTAAATTATGTCATTTTAGCAAACCAATAATGTAAAGTATCAGGTTTTTCTGTATTTAAACAATATTTAACTGTTAATTAAACTGAAATTTCATAATTTTGAATTTTTTTTTTTTTACCTTCGCTCTTTTACATTCTTTGATCGTGAAAACTGCAAGATTTTTTTATAGTGTACCAAACAGAAAAAAGTTAAATAGTTATTTTTCTTCGTGAGATCAGGCTGTCTCATTTGTCAACATTTCAGATTATTTTTGCCAAAAACTACTGACGATTTTGCTGCAAAATTTCTCAGAATTAAATGAATATTTATGCCATTACTTAAGTTGTTTTGCTGTGACAGTATACACAGATTTACACATGGCCGTAAGTGGTCTTCGGTTCATCGCGTCATCAGTTCATCACTGTTTTTGACCTTAAAAACCATTGGTTTGTGTTATTTATAGAAAGGGAACACTGAGGGAAAAACAAAAGGAGTCATGTGACATTATCGCAATGCACATTCCTGTTTGAACAACTCGTGGTATCACACATCATATGAGCACTTTCTATATGTGGATATAATGTTCTTTAATATAAAAACATGCAAATGGTATGAAAGGAATATAAACCGTTTCCTCACTGGCCAAAGGATATCTGCGGCAATTAAAAAAAAATGCAAGCTTGCCTGTATTTTACGCCATTTACTTCATTTTGTGTTTAATTAGTGATCACAGAATCCCAAATTATAAAGAGGCACATCAGCTCCCATGTTTGTCCATTCATTAAGTCATGTAAATTCAGCTTTTTAGTTATTGAGAGTCAGTTGCTTTAAAGTGGGAACCCTACTTCATGATTGTAAAGTTTATATATTCATGTCTGATCTCAGATGCTCAGACAGTGATTCTCCTTATATAAATGGTTGAAATATCAGGAATGCAACCAGTTTGTGGAGAAAAGCAGTGCTCATAAATAGCCATCGACATTGAGTTTTCTCAGTTGAAATGAATAGAGGTTTGGACCTGGAACCGTTTTTTTATACACTACAACTTAACAAGCGGTTTGTGTATTTTCCTTTCTGACAGATTTGCTGCATGTTTTCTTCTTGTATGAAAAGTGCTCAGACTATATAAAGGAGCATATGATTGACAGCCGGCGACCGTACAGTTAGATGTAGTATTTTCTGTATTCTGTCAGCATATAGTTGTGTTAGCTCAGGGTGTGTGACTGTAAAACTGAACACTTGACACAGGGTGAAGGTACAATCTGTAATTCCTGAAGCAGTGCCTCTTGAACATGGAAAAAATGGCTTTGTTTCTTTCTCTAAAGGCCCTGCGATCGCGATTATGGATTTTCCTTAATTGTTGAACTGTTGAACTGTCTGTCAGGTGTGTGCACTGAACCACAAGGACTTTTTTTTTGTAAGCGTCGAATGATGTGTTTTATTCCCTTGTATTTTTTTCAATGGACAAAAACTGTATGTATGTCGAGCTTTAGAAAGTTTCTCTAAATATGCAAACTTTCTGGATGTCAACATTCAATAAACTCATTATTTTGCACTGAGAGCGCATTTAGGATTGTTCATGATTAAGTAAAATAATGATTCTATGGATTTACTACATTTGTTTAAGTCAAGTGCTAACAAGCAATTTATATGGGCTGAATTTAAACAAAGAAATTAAGTTTAGTAATGTGTAACTTACTTAGTTTGTCTAAATTCAGTCCTACAAATTGTTTGCTTGCACTTATCTTCATTCTGAAAACGTACCGCTATATACATTTCTGGAGATCGTGAAATACGTCTCATGAGGTTTTCGTTTACACGAATCTGCTAGAGGCCGATGTGTACGCTTTTTCAGATCTCAAATTTCACTTGCGAGTGCCATTTGCGTCTGCTGTTCTCATGTAAATCCAACAGAGGCTGATTTGTACGTTTTTTAGATCTCAAATTTCTCTGGCGAGTGCCATTTGCACCTGCTGTTCTCGTGTAAATCCACCAGTGGCCTCTATGTGTGCTTTTTGAGATCTCAAAATTCCCTGGCGAGTGCCATTTGTACATGCCGTTCTTGCATGATTTTTACGAGATTTTACCACATTGTCACCCTGTTATTTACATGTTTATTTTATTGTAATTTTATTGGATTTTGTTTTTGTCTTACCTGCTTTCTGAAACCCTTTTTTGCTGGATTAAAACATCAATGTCGCTGTAAAGTCTGCTCTACATCACAATGTGTCCATCAATGTACGCGAGCCACTGGACAAACTGGTAAAAGCAGAAAAGCTGTCCATACGGAGCTAAGCAGTCAGCTGGTAGGCACGAAAAGGAAGGCGTCATACCGCCTCCTAGCATTTACTTTTAAGACAAAGTGCAGCCATACGTATCTCTGGCTACATAATTCCAGACATGTATACAACTTTCCTCAGTCAGAATTTGTCCTTTTGAATAATAAAAAATTAAAACATGATAATAATAATAATAATAATAATAATAATAATAATAATAAAGAGCTTCACGATTTTTCTCGTCTCTCTAAAATTTGAAAATTCATGGATAACAACAGCCTAATTAAAATTAAATAAACTTTAATATGGGCTGCTTTTGGTGCTTCACACCTTTTTGACTTCCCTTCACTTATGTCAGATTGCATGTTTTCTTGCACAGCTGGATGTTGGACTCATGAAAAATAATAGTTTGCATTGGCCAAAATTGATTAGCTGAAGTCCCACCGAAGCGAAAGCCAACAAAGGAATCTGCTTAGTCTTAAAGCCTTCTTTAATGGGTTATTTTTACAATTTATAATGTCAGCATTCACAATAGCACAAATAAGATCATGTATGGGAAAATTCTGGACCTGTCAGTGGGGTTGGGTCTTCTGAATCTCCCCTGGCTATGGGCCTGCAGTCACAGCTGTACAACATATGTAAATGCATAAATCTTTAAAAATTCTATATACAGTTTATGTATACAGATTTCTTTCTTTCTTTCTTTCTTTCTTTCCTTCCTCCCCTCTTTTTTTTTTCTTTCTTGGTGTTTGGGCCCAAAAAAATGTCAGATTGTGTCCAGTAGAGGGCCTTTTAGATCAATGCAGCTTCTGAAATTCACAGCTCCACTGTTGCACCAAATACTGCAATCTAGTGAGGAAACCAGAAGAGTGATGAAATCCTGTTAAGTCACGGCTCCGGGCTTTTCCTCCAATCCCACCTGGGAGAAAGCTGACACTCACGAGGAAAACAAGCAGTGACCTCATTTTTGACCAATAAAAGGAAGTCAGACTTTTTGGCTGATAAAAAAGCACAAGTCACGCATCGGAATGCAAAAAAATCCCCCACTGCATTCATATGACCCGTTCATATGAGCAGCTTCTCCTTTCTGAGCTCTAATAGGAACAAAAACAGCACGTTGCAGTAATACTTCTTGATTTATTTTTAAAATCACAGAGGAGTGTCGGAAACACATTTCATTACATTCATTCGGCAAATAACAGCATGGAGTCATTAATAAATAGATAAATACAACAAATACAATATATAAATAGGTGTAAAAGTTATAAATAGATCAATACAACAGCAAAAATAAAATAAAAGTCTACTTATTTCTACAACGAAATACGTAAGATAATCAAACGTCACATTAGCTTGCGATAAGTACACAAATTGTAGTGCCCTTGTTATAGTGCTCTTGACTGACTACATGGTATTCAGTGCACAACTCTCACTGCATCGGCTTTGTTTTACATATAAAACAAGTCATCACGATGCAGGGAGGCCTCTTAGCCTTAGTCGAATTTCTTGCCCTGAGAACATACATTCAATGTTTTAACATAAAACACTGTTTTTTCATACTAGAGCCACACGACTATTAAATCACAACGCGAACACCCCGAAGAATGTTTTGGCGTAGTTGTTCTCGATGTCGCCCACTCGAGTGGTGTGGGTCGACAGCCTGTCATCCCCAAAAAGATCAAAGACGGCTCCAAGGTAAATGGTGCTGTAGGACGTTTTTCCATCTAGAGACTGGCAGACGGAATTGGCCGAGTTTTGCAGAGGCATCTTTTCCCTCACCGCATCTGTGTATCGATTGATGGTGTGGCTCAGGTACTTTTGACCATCTCCTTCAACATCTTCAACGCACAAAGTTTCGTACGACACTTGACTGTACACAAAGTAAAGACCATCCTTAGGAATGATGATCTCGTTGTTTTCCAGCCTGAGGCCGCCCTGTTGGAATGCCTGATCCACACCGCCAACCCATTTCAGCGATTGTCCTGAAGGGTCACCTGTGAATAGAGAGGAAAATTAAGTCAGATGTGCACCACAGACATTTACACATTTAAACTTTTAATTTTGGGGTCTACATAAACACTTATTCGCTAAGTAAATTGTAGTTATAATGCTTTAAAATGGTCAAACTTCATGGCAATTCAGACTTAAAGAATTAAAGATTTAAATGAGAACTTTCTCTAATATGACTCTATAGAAGAAAATATGACCTGTTTTTCTCATTGCGAAGAATGTTTTAAGGGGATAATTCAACAAAGAATGAAAGTTGTCACCATTTACTCTCCCTCTTTTGAGTTTCCTATGAAAGAAGATATTTTGAAGAATTCTGATTGCTGGTGTCCATTGACTTCCAAAGATGGATACGAAATACTATAGGAGTCAATGGGTACCAGCATTCCTTAAAATATAAAAAACACAAATAGGTTTTCTATGTATCGGAATCTGAGTAAACAGTGACAGAGATTTCCTTTTTTGGTTGAACTTTCCCTTTAATAGTCTGCTTTTGTGCATTGTAAAATGGTAACAGTTCCTTGTTGAACCATCAATAATAAGGAACCTTACTTTTTAAAAGGTTGATGAATGTGTAATATTTAATCTTAAAATGTGAGATCATACAGTATTAAAGTGGGCCTGCATTTTGGTTATTAATCATTGGCTTTATCTTCAGTGAAGCACGTAATGAAGTAATCATAGATTTGACTGGAGTCCCCCCACCTCTGGCCGCCCACTGCAAATCAATGTTTGAGGATTTGTCTTACATCCCACCACACTAGGAAATCCAGTTAGCTAATATTTGACCAGCCATTTAGGCTTGTTGCAACCAACAAACGCCTTTTAGAAATCTCAGGTTTCGGACTATCTGATAAGATGAAGTTTACTAGGATTATTAAACTCGGGCTCTCGAAATGAGATAACCTGTGACGTATGATGACGACATTCGGAGGAAAGTCAAAGACACAATTTGAGACTCACCATGCAAGTGAATGGCAGCCTTTGTGCTCTGAGCGATCTGCTTCAGCACTTTTCCGTGGTCTGAGGAAGCTGTGGAAAAGAAGACTAGGGTCAGTTTTCACAGTGTAATAACAGGTGGCCATTGAGTGAAAAAATGTAATGTCCAGAACAAAAGCTTCATGTAATGTATGTACAATGTAAAAGATTATATGATAAATTAATCATGACAACATATGTTTTAAGTTCATTGTAACATATTAACCTGAGTTAATTATGTTCTAACTTAATTTGATAAGTTGCGCAAGCTGTTTTAAGTCAGTTTAACATAATAAAAGTTCAGTAGATCAGTCCATAAGCTTAATTTGATTCAGCTTAAAAATTGAAGGCAACCAGGATACTTTAACAGTGTATGTTTGTTGAATAAGTGACTTCTATGTTTGTTTTATAAGTCTATATGCTTCCCTTTTTCTGTACAAATCACATAATGAATACACTCTAAACCAATGTTGGGTTGTCAAAACCCAATGTTGGATCAAATATGGACAAATCTAGCTTAAGATTATTGATTTAGCACATTTAAAACAGCCACAAGACTGACCAATGTGCAACATCCCAAAAACAAGACAGTTTGGCTGTATGTTGTCCATATATTGTCCAACATTGGGTTACAAGTTTAATAGTTACACTTTGTTTAATGATATTAACTCTTAAATTTTCATTGAACAGTTCTAAAAGAAGTCATGTTTTTTTCTAAGTGTTATTAAGTATAGAAATGTAACCATCAATGCCCAAAAAGGAGTTGTTTTAGAAAAAGAAAAGCAAAACAAAAGTACAAGATGGAATACTGGGAATGTTATTAACCTGAAGGTGTGGTGATTTGTTGTTTTAGATGTTCTCTGTTGGGTTTCTGACCTTCTTCGTTTGGCTTCTGCAAAAGACATTGCTTTTTAAATAAGGTATTTCAAGAATGTTTCATTATTCCAATGATCATCCCTCAATGAAATTTCAGTCTTACCATCACATGCCAGGTGAAGAAAAATGCAGCCACAACGCAGAGGCCAACAAAAGCAACTGCAGCGAGTGTCTTCCATATCCAGCTTCTTGAAGAATTAACCGGTACAGGTGCCACGGTTGTCTGATAAACTCCCCCGACACCGGCTTCCATATCTACTAATGTTGTTTCGTATCTCACCATGCTGCTAGTTCTCCTTGCTGTGTTCCTTTTTTTACTGAGTTTTTGTGTATGAACTGAACTTGTCTGCTCTGTCATTTATATACACTAAAGATAGGGGAAACTCCAGTGATGTAAGCCAGCAAGCGGCTTCAGGAACAGAGGTTGGTTTGAAAGGGGAAAGAACACCCTCAGCTCTCAAACACCAACTTTCCACCCACACACAAACCTCCAGACACGGCGCTTGCACATACACACCCTCACACTTCTGCCGGAAAGATAGTAGTAAATATAATAGGCTTTTCACTTTACACTTTCAAAAACCTGTTAGTAGATTAAATGTGTGATTTTATTTATTTTATAAGTTTGATTCATCTTTTAGTGCATTGAAAAATACCTAGCAGATCATACTCAATTTTCTTTGCTTCTTGTTTAAACTGCTAATTTAAAATGAGCTGAATCAACACAATTCTTAAGTTTTTTGGGAACAACATAATTGCTTTATGTTCAGTTCACTTAAACTTGTAAAAACAATTAAGTTAACTTAATCGATTTGTGTTGAGACAACATGTAGGAATTGTGTGGAACTTTGCATTTTTACAGCGTAATTTATATTACCTTATGTACTGCAGGTTGACTATGTTTATATATAAAAAGCTTGACTGTTAAAAGTTATTAGTTACTAGCTAATTAGTTAAATCTATTAGTAACTAATAAAGCTAACTAATAACCTTAGCATTTCCAATTTGATTGTAATGCATTATTGTGCACCTGTAAAGCTGCTGTGAAACAATAACTACTATGAAAAGCGCTACACAAATAAGCTTGAAGTGAATTGAATGTACCTTTAAATTAGAAATGGCATAGCCTGAATGTTAATTTACATTTATTCATATATGAAATTATTTTTCATTGTGAAAGTAGTGGGCATTTTAGTGCTTTAAATATATTAATGTAAGTACAGGGTTCGATTGGTAAACACATTTCACTATCTTAATTGTGACCTGTAAAACCTGATTAGCAAGCTTTGCTAATATGCCTCGGGCTCTTTCGGTTTCAGTGTGCTGATGTAATACGAGTCAGTCCGAGTCCACCAATAACACACAGCTGACTTCCTATTGGGAGATTCCACGAGCTGAATTTCTTCTGGCTTTTATGACCCTGTTTTTGTTTTCTCTCTCCTTTTCACTGTTTTTTTAAACGTGATTTCACGCTCACTTTCTATGTGAAAAAGTACTGTGCATGTTTGCGATTTGAGTGTATTTCTGTTTCTCTTTTTTCATTTAGCAGTCATAATATTTATCTGATACCAGAGTTGGTGCTTGTAAACGTGAGGTATTTTACAATACATGATCAAAATGTGAGATAATTTGAAGCTTGATACTTATGCGAAGTTATTTTTAGTCAAAAAGGGAACCTAATAAAGGGCCTACTGAAAAAAATTTTAATGGCTAAATATTTTAAAATGGCAGAAAGAAAGAAAGAAAAAAAGAAAGAAAGAAAGAAAAAATAAAAAAAGGACTAAGAATGAAAATGTAATTCTTTAATTCTAGATAATGCTAAAGATTGATGTTGGAAAGACATGTTGTTTTAAAACATGGTAAAAACTGAAACACTACTATAATGTAATTAAGACAACGTTTTAAATATTGGAAACGCACAACGAAAAAATAGACTGATTGACATATCTTAGGTTCTTAATATTTACTGGATTTCTTTTGTTTTTATTTTTTATGATTTAAAATCAGTGATATTAATTAATGTTGATTCCTTAATATTATAATAATTTTTTTATTTATGCAAAAAAGCAGTAAAAATATAAGAAATGAGTGTTTAAAATAATCACTAAATTTATATCTTATGCATTACTACACAAAACAACTATAAAGAAGATGAACTGCTAAGTGGTCCCTTCATTTTTATTTAAAGCAAATATTGTATGTAGCAAAGACTGATGCTGTAATTAACAGTGATATTGTGTAAGCAATTAATTTATACAAATGAGTAGCCTGAATTCATATTCAGTTTGGGTATATTGTTAGAATTAACTGCTTCCATTTGTTTTCTTTTTTAGTTGACAACCACATTTCAGTAATGTAGCTATCTGGTTCATTCACAAAAGCCATTCCACATTAATCCTCCAGTGCTGTCTCAAACAACACTGTTATAATTAAAGATGGCGTTTCTTCTTATCTTTGGAAAATTTGGAGTGTTTTTTTTTCCCGCCACTTTCAGTCATGGGCAAATCCAAAAGCAGCAACGGAGGAAAACAACTGGCTCCAAACTCACGTCTGTCTCTGTAAGTAATCAAATCTACACATGAAAACACTTGACAAACGACGTTAGCGTGTAGATAAAAAGCCCAAATGCTAGGTTATTATATTAGAATAAGTCTATAGACTAATCTATAGGAGGAAAGCAGTTTAGTAGCCCAAACTAAACCAAAATATTGTTTATATGCTCAAAAAAGTTTCTGTTGTATTGTAATTATTTTTTACAATGGATAAGATATCTTTTCTGATATCTCAGTCTAAGTAATATATTTCAATAGTAATATTAGTTTTGTTGTGGTCAAAGCTATAGTTTTACTTGCTAGCTCAAAATGTGATACAATCCAAAAATGAAAGAGCAGGCATGTATAAATACAGCTAATCCAGTCTGGTGAATATGGTGAAGTACATGAAAGTACGAAAAAACTACTACAACTTTTTTACATTTACTTAAAATCATCAAACATTCCTTAAAAAAAAGATTTGTAATTGCTCTAAAACTTATTTTACTTACTTTAAATATATATCCATTATACATTCATTATATATATATATATATATATATATATATATATATATATATATATATATATATATATATATATATATATAATGTATATATATCTTATATTTAATATATAAACCAGACTAGTTTTAATTTCTGATCTCTGTAAAACTATAAAATAAACGGTTGAAGTATTTAACCTTGCAAAACATTGATATTATGTGCCAATGTGTTTTATACTGACCTATCTAAAATTATCTGTGCAGCAATGCTATTACAAGCCTCTCATTTTCTTTCTTCATGATGAAGGGTCAAATCATAAAGTGGCACCAAAGGAAAACAACTGGCTCTAAATTCACATTTCTCTCTGTAAGTATCCAAATCTACACATGAAAACACCTGACAAATAACATTAACATGTAGACAAAAGCCCATATGCTAGGCTACAAAGTTAGAATAAGACAAGCAACAAGTAGGCTTGGCTAGTTTTAATCAGATTCCTAAACTAAACCAAAATATTGTTTGTATGGTCAAAAAAGTTTTGGTTACTGTATATTGTAATGTAGATTATTTTTGTACAATGGACAACATATATACATAAAATCTGATATGTCTCAGTTTAGGTAATATGATGATTAAATAGTAATATCAAAAATGAAAGAGCAGGCATGTACTGTATAAATACAGCTATTCCAGTCTGGTGACTATGATGAAATATAGTATAGTACGAAAAAACTACTACAACTTTTTTACATTGCTTTAAATCATTAAAGATACTTTAAAAAAAGATTTGTAATTGCTCTAAAAGTTTTTTTTTTTTTTTACTTACTTTAAAAATATATCCATCATTCATTCATTCATTCATTTTCTTGTCGGCTCAGTCCCTTCACTAATCTAGGGTTGCCACAGCAGAACGAACCGACAACTTATCCAGCACGTTTTTACCCTTCTAGCCGCAACCCATCTCTGGGAAATATATCCATTATAATGTTAATTAATTATTCTGATAAGGTGTTAAACCAGACTAGTTTTAATCACTAAACTCTATAAATCTATAAAATGGATGGTTGAAGTATTTTGCGTCCTTCAAAACATTGATATAATGTGCCAATGTGTTTTTTACTGACCTATCTAAAATGATCTGTGCAGCAATGCTATTACAAGCCTCTCATTTCCTTTCTTCATGAGAAAGAGGCGGTTCATAAAGTGGCACCAGAGGAAAACAACTTGCTCTAAATTCACGTCTGTCTCTGTAAGTATCCAAATCTACACATGAAAACACTCGGCAAATAACGTTAAGGTGTAGACAAAACGCCCATATGCTAGGCTATGATGTTAGAATACGTCCAGCAAACAAGTAGGCTTGGCTAGTTTTAATCAGATTCCTAAACTAAACCCAAATATTGTTTATATGGTCAAATAAGTTTTGGTTACTGTATATTGTAATGTAGATTTTTTTTTACAGTGGACGATACACATCAAATCTGATATGTCTCAGTTTAAGTAAAATGATGTTTAAATAGTAATATTAGTTTTGTTGTAATCAAAGCTATAGTATTACTTGCTAGCTGCAAATGTGATACAATACAAAAATGAAAGAGCAGGCATGTATAAATACGTCTATCAAATTGTTAAGTGTGACGTCACGCAAGCGGCTTCCGGGTCCAAGCGCTCTATCAAACTGTATGGGGAGACTCATGGAATGGAAATAATAAACGTTTACAAAGTGATTTAATACTTTCGAAAAATCACGATAGCAATAAATACATCCATATCCAATGGCCAGAAAGTGAATCATTTTTTTTATTGTAAAAATTTTGGTATGTGTGATGCAGCAAGCCCAGAGATTGTTGTGTACACCATGACTTTATATAAAATTCACTTTAATGTGTGATATGAAAAAACAGTGATCATAAACTAATATTTTCTCAATTCAGTGGTGAGTGTGGCGGCTTGGACCCAGAAACAGTATTACATGTCACCAACACAACACGTCACTGAACAAGCGGATTCCATTCTGGTGAATATGTTGAAATACAGTAAAGTACGAAAAACTACTTCAACTTTTTTACATTTACTTCAAATCATTAAGGAAACCTGAAAAAAAGATTTGTAATTGCTCTAAAAGTTATTTTACTTACTTTAAATATCTATTTATATATTAGAATGTTTATTAATTATACTGATAATGAGTTACACCAGACTGGTTTTAATCACTGATCTCTATAAATCTATAAAATGGATGGATGAAGTCTTTGTGGGCCTTCGAAGCATTGAATACACAATATAAT